AGGGAGAGGCAAATATAGTGAAGTGTTTGAAGCCATAAACATCACAAACAATGAAAAAGTGGTCGTCAAAATACTGAAGGTATGGAGATAATCTATTGAATACCCTGATGTTTGATACATTTTGAAAATGTTTTTTTTTTTTTTTTTCAGTAAAAAAATGGTTGTGATTTTGTCTCTTCGGGTTGAGATTTTATTTACTTCACAAGACTCTCTCTGTTCACAGCCGGTCAAGAAAAAGAAAATTAAGAGGGAAATAAAGATCCTGGAAAATCTGAGGGGTGGCCCAAATATCATCTCACTGTTAGATATCGTCAAGGATCCTGTGGTAATTTTCCCTTTTTCGTACTGTAACAAATAAGGAATTAATGTATGTACAAGTTTTCGTTCATAAACACATGTACATTTTTTTTCTCCTTTTCTTTTTAGTCCCGAACCCCTGCTCTTGTCTTTGAACATGTGAACAACACAGACTTCAAGGTAAAGATTGGTGCTTTTTGGACTTGTAATGTGGAAATATGTTCATACTAAGTCATTTTTGGCTCATACATTTTTATATTTTTACAGCAATTGTATCAAACCCTATCTGACTTTGACATACGGTTCTACATGTACGAAATCTTAAAGGTAAGAACCTGCTTTTGGTGCACTCGATTTGTTACACTCTATTTTATGGTCTGCATTGGTTGTTTATTATTTGCCAGAAACATATCAAGCTCTATACCTATTCTTAACATCTTTTTATTTTTTTTTGTTCCCTTTTTTTTTACCGGTTAGGCTCTGGATTATTGCCACAGTATGGGGATTATGCACAGAGATGTCAAGCCACACAACGTAATGATTGATCATGAACACAGAAAGGTATTTTTTTTCACATGCTGATAATTTTCCTGATTTCTTGTCTTCCCCGCTGTGACAGCCGCTAATCACATTCAACTAAATTTGTTCCATTTCCAGCTACGCCTAATCGATTGGGGTTTGGCAGAATTCTACCACCCCAACCAGGAATACAACGTGAGAGTGGCATCCAGGTACTTCAAAGGACCTGAACTGCTGGTAGACTACCAGGTAGGGGCCCTATACTCTTCCTTATTTCTACTCATGCCAGTTTTACACAAGTAGGTCAAAAATGGAACTTAAGATTTATATTATTAAAGAAGAGAGGACTGATTTTTGTTTAAAATTGAAGCCAATCTGAGCCCTTCTCATGTCTCGATATCCTTTTGTAGATGTATGACTACAGCTTGGACATGTGGAGTTTGGGTTGCATGCTCGCCAGCATGATCTTCAGAAAGGAACCTTTCTTTCACGGTCACGACAACTATGATCAGGTATGAAGAAGCAAGTCTTCTTAACTTCCTCTTAATAAAGTCTTCTGTGTATGTGTTCACAAACCGGTGGCCTAAATAGAGCAGTGTCTGGGGTTGCGTTTTTGCCCAACATTGCATAATGCATAGCATTGTTAGTTTTACACAGTCAACCCTCATTCTTCTTACACTGAATAGTTGGCCACATTGCAGCTCTGCTGGAGCACCTGGGATTTTTCTTTGTCTTTTTTAGAGTTATCTCAGCAGGTATTAAGCAGGGGTGGACATTTATTATTAACTTTTTAACATTTGGTGTACTGATTGTAAACAAAGGGGGTAGAAGACAAATGTAGAACTGTACCAGTGGACATGGCTCAAAACACATTTTACCCCTATGGATGGCGTCATTTGTGTTGTGTGCTTTGCCTGCCTACACTGTAACACTGAACACAGCATTTCCAGTTTATTCCATGACTGATTTGGGCTTGTGTGTCTTTGAGCCTAGTTGACACTACGGTTGAAATGGTCCTTCAGTTCTATTGGCAGACAACAGCAAGTGTTGATTAACTCGTACAATTAATCTGCCCAGAGATTGAACTGTAATTATTTCTCTAGTAATCAGGCAAACTGCGTTTAAATGTTTTTATTTAATAATGAGAATGTTGCAGACGAGTGTAGAGAATGAAACCTACCAGTTACCGAGGGGATGTCCACTGGCTCAGTTAGGTTTGATAATATTAAAAAATCTTCTCAAATTTCACGTATATTTAATGGGACATGCTCAATGTTAAGATGTTTTTACCTAGATACCACAATTACCTCTTAATTGACGTAATTAATATACTCAATACAAACCTACTACCTAATTGACTATAACACTATATACTGCAATGGAATGTATTGCCCTCAATACATGTGATGTATTAACTCTCAACCTGAACTTGTTTAATTACTGAATTATGTTTCTTGCACCTTGCAGCTTGTGCGAATCGCAAAAGTACTCGGCACCGAGGACCTGTACGACTACATTGACAAGTACAACATTGAATTGGATCCCCGATTCAATGACATTCTCGGAAGGTAAAACATTGCAGCCGTTTGAACGTTTCGACCGAGAGTTTTGGATAACAAAAAACCTCACAGTAACACTTGTTCCCTGGTTTGTTCTCTAGACACTCCCGCAAGAGGTGGGAGAGGTTTGTGCACAGTGAGAACCAGCACCTGGTCAGCACAGAGGCTCTAGACTTCCTGGACAAACTGCTGCGCTATGACCATCAAGCCCGCCTCACGGCCAGAGAGGCCATGGATCATCCCTACTTCTGTAAGTCTGTTATATTTTACTAGCCTGTCTGCGTCTCTTACTTATTCCTTAAGTAAACAGTTTCAAAGCAGAATTTGAGCACACTGTTTGAAGTGGCTTGATTGTGTCAACACAAGTGTTTGGTTCATGAGGCGCTCATATGCACTTTTGTTTTCAGATCCCATCGTTAAAGATCAGGGAAGGGGGGCCACTCCTGGAGGGATGGCTGCCAGCTCCACGCCAGTCAGCTCCTCAAGTATGATGGCCGGTAAGTAATCCAGCCCCAAAAATAATCTACGGTTTGAAATGTTTCCCTCATAATCTGACTCATTAAGAAAGTTAATCTTTAACTTGAAACTAAAACAAAAGTCAGATTGTGAAAGGCTGCTTAGAAAGCTATATCCATAGTGTGACTATTTTCGGAGGGGGGGTTCAAATTCAAGATTACACTTTATTTGCAGCCAAACAAATGGTCAGATAGCAAAAAAAAAAGTCAGATTACAAGCTTTTCTTTGACCGGAATCAAGTTTCTAACTATTTTGAGATTTTGATGATGTGTAAATGTGATTAATGAGCCCCCTCCGTCTCTCCTAGGCATCACCTCAATGTCCTCCTCGCAGCCACTGGCTAACATTGCTGGATCACCCGTCATCTCTGCTCCCAACACTCTGGCCACACAAGTCCCTGCAGCCACTGGGGCTCAACCCTGAAGCCACTTCCTCACCTGTGTTTATGTGTGCTCATGGCCATGTCCTGCCTAGCTCTCACTGCGGCCCAGGGCCATGGCTCCCCTTTTTATGTTGAAAATAACAAAGAAGAAGATTTAAAATTGCTTTTCACATTCAGTTATATTTTGACACCTGGACTTGACAGAAATGTATTGTTGCACCTGTCAGGATTATTAGAATTAATTTGGGTGTGTTATTTGACAATGCCATTGTCTAGAAATTCTAATAAGATGTAGACATGAAGAGAATGGATAATAAAATTTATTTTGTATGTTCCAAATATACAGTCTTGCTTGAAACTGTTTGATGGGGATCCTGCTGTATTACACTGTGAACCTTTACACGACTTCACAAAACAGAGTCAGGAATCTGGTGTGCCCCACCGAACAGTGCTCGCTGGTTGCACACGATATGTAATGTGCAGGAGTTGTTGGTGTTTTGAAGTTGTTAGATGCTATAATTCTTTAATTGGACTTTTGTAGATATTCTACAGTTACTGTCAGGTTGCATGCACCCAATGCTGAGTATCACAGGGTCAATAGTTTGCCAATCTTATGTTACCTTTCACTTCTATATGTGTATGTATGTGTTCATGTTTGTTTTTTATGAAGTCTCTTACACATGATTTTGATTACATAGACAATTTTGTAACTTTTGTTTTATGTTGGGAGGAGTCATCACCTACAAAAACAACTTCAAAAATAAACAATTTAAACAGGGTTTTGCAGGCGCTACATGTTATTGAGTATACCGTCTTCTGACTGGTTGCATTGGCAATATATGAGTGACTTAAAGCGCAGCAGTGTAGTCAATTTCCCTATGATTCTGAATTAATTTTGGCACCAAATTATTTTGTAACGGTGCATTCCCCAGCTTTTTTTTTTTTATCTCTGTTTATACTTTCACATGTATTTATTTTAGTTAGCTTGAACAAAGTGAGTGCAACGCATACATCCTTAATAATTCTCTATATGGAGTCCTAAGTCTTGAGTTATGGAGGCATCAAATGTGCATGTGTGTAATTTCTAGCGAGCCTGGAGATGATAAAAGCTGAATGTGTGAATAAGAGCAGTGAATCACATTCAGAACTCACCTGTCAGTGCTGGCCAAAATGGGAAGGGAGGGAGGGGTGGACTAAATGTACACCCCCAGACCATGTTAGATGAAGTCTGCAGGACTCACATGCATGTTCTCTGTTGCTAAACAAAAAGGGCTGCTACAAACCAGGTATAACTAAACTGGCTGTTCAGGGAAGTTTAACAAAGACATATAGGTGACTCCTTCCATTACATATGCAAACGGGCCTCATTCATTCTACAGTACTACAGTAAAAAACTGATGTAGCACTTTCATCTTACTGTCCAGAGCAGACTGAATCCACAACCTTCATGCAGAGAATTCAAACTGTAGCATAGGAGCTGTTTTTAGACACAATTTAGCTCCAACCATTCGGAATCATGCAGCATTCACGTGCTTCTCATATGTGGGAAATCACCAATGTCTCGTGTTCAATTGCCTCTGATTAATGGCAACAATGGCACAAATGTTCTGCATTTTATCTCACGAATCAAGACATGCTTATGCGGGGCCACACCGCCAGCTGCAAGATCAAAAATGAATTCTTAGGTACGGATTTGTTTACCTATTTCCGATAGCTTTGAACGCAGCATTAGTCACGCCTGCTGTGGCACGCCTCAGCTGCAGCGCTCGAGCACTTTAAAGCAGTTTGTAACATTTTTTTGCTTCTCGTGATTCCGAAATGGGAAAGGTGGTGTTTATTTCGATTATAGTGGCTGCCTTATCTGCGCTGCTCGGAGAGAGGTTCGTCAACTTCAGGTAAGTCAGAAAGCATCTCTGTTCATGTTGAAAGGAAAGGGGTATTTCGGTGTTTGTAGTTTTTCTGCAGGAGAAAAGAAAAAAAAAAAGTTGTGTTGTGACCCCCTGCGATAATTTAATGTGTCGAAACATCGCAGGAAAATTACCCTCGCTTCGAATGAGCTGGTCCAGAATCACCTCCCCAACTGTGTCGCACTCAAAAATCTGGGTAAGTAACGTAAACACCGTAAAACAGTGCAGCAGAAAACGCGAACATTAAAACTAACTGTTATCTTAATTTCAGATCATGGCTCAGAGGATATAACGATCCTTCGAAACGGGCTCGCCTTTATCAGCACTGTAAGTATTTGTGTTGAAGAAGAGCCAAACGCTG